CCAGAGGAATACAGGACATCATGTATGTCTAATGTATCACTACTATTTTAGAATAAACAGTCAGGAGTATCTATTTTAGCTGTTCACACAGTCAGTGTTTGACAACTAGATAACAACAGGTGAGACTCTTGTTATTGCCAGGAATTTTGGATCCAGTCTCTTTATAAGATCCTGTCAGAAGATATCGATGTTGTCTGTTGTGGTTTCAAACTGCTTCACAACAACATCCCATAAAAACTTGAAACTGAGATATTCCCTCTCATTTGTAATGACAAATATTTCATTAAACCCCACAATCATAAGATTAAACATTCACAAGCATCACAAGTTAAATAAGTGATATAAAATATAAAAATATAGGTTAATAAAAACAGTATAAATGATTAAACGATAAAACAAAATGAAGAAAATTAAACAAGGATGTATGGCTGCTCTCTTGAAGCTACACACATGGGTTGCCACGGAAACATAGATCATTCACTCTTGAACAGTCCTGTTCACACAACCACTTACATAGCATTCAAATAACTACTGTATGAATGAATAATGAATGTCAATTCCTTTTTTGTTCTCATGCTTGCCTTGAAAATCACCTGTAGCCTTTGTGATAGTTTATCTGTGAAATCTTAATAAACCCATAGCTACTTCTATACCTGAGTGACCTCTGATCTATCTGACTAGATTTAAAACCTTGATAACACACAGCTCATATCTCAGTCTGTGCAAGTTGGCCAAAAAAAGGCATTACACGCGAGACATACATGCAGCAAGTGGCTATTACATTTTATGACAACTAGTTATTATTCAGTAGGGCCCAGTTCACACATCAGGGGTTCTAAAATGCATATAGCAGATAGTGGCTAATGAATCTGAAGTCTTGCACATTGACAGGAAACAGCTTGCATTTTGCTTTGAGAAATAAGATGGATAGAATGAGGTCGTCACTCTTGTAAATCCGTGAGTAAATGTAACCATATTAGGGACTTAAATACATAACTTACACCGCATTCTGCTGCTGTGTGAACGTGGCCTATTATAATAGCCTTTCACCTGACTTGCAGAGTTTGTATATCAGTCTCTAAAGATTAAGAGAATTTGAACCAATGAGAGAATGGAGTAAGCTTTCTGGGTGGTAAGAGCACAGACTTGGCAAAAGTTTTGGGTCTAGATGAACACTGATCTACTAAGGCGGTGGAGATTAACAGGGCAGAAAGAGGTAACAAGTAGAACACTAGATAACTGTACAGACACATCTGTTTTTGATCAATAGCCTTCTGTAGGATTAAAGCAAAAAGAAACCAGAGTACCAGGGTCAGTTATAAGAACTACAGACGCTCCGATCTGAAAGCAAAGTAGTCGGGAGAAAGGGCTGCCAGAGCGGTAACCTAATCACTCCAAATCACAAGATAATCCTACTTGCCCTCCACTCTTACAGCAGGGCATTATTCATATCGGCAGGCACTCAGACCTCAAACTCTCATAAGCAAATTAATCAGTGAGACACATTCCTAATACTCTTGATTTAGAAAGCCAAAAAGCACAGAGTTATTTCAAGAATTCTAATAGCCATATTAATCTGTCAAAGATATGCCCATTTCACTTCCAATGCACTCAGGTTCAGTTATAAGCGTGGGGGAGAAAGTCGAAACACTGAAACCACTTAAAAACTCACAGGTTAATCCATGGCATTTAAATACATGAGATCTGATGTTAAGGTCTAAATTTACATGCAGAGTACACGGACAAAAATTTTAAAAAAGTAGAAGAAAACATTTAAGCGTTTCCGGATCTAACCAACATATTTGACATTGGAATAACTCAAACCAAATGCGTTATTTGTTGGTGGTTCTGAGATTTTGGCTAGGGATTGCCGGCACGGAAACCTTGAAATAAAATCCTGTTAAACCCTCTGCCTCTCTCTCAGGAGTATAGTTAAAACCATGCTGTGCATGGACATGATTATGCACCGCCACAGGTCCTACGGCATGGCCCAGCCTTGACTTCCAGCAGGAAACAAGCTCAGGAGTTCAATTAGGGCAATTCTCGGTTTGGCCAGGAGATTAGCAGGCGATATAATACAATCAAACAGAGAGTGATGAAATATATTACATACTTTTTAATCAGCCATTTGAAAGAGCACATCTGATTTTAGAACAGATTATAAGATTACTGACAACTTAGAATTTAGAAAATGGTTATGAAAAAACGCTGATGGTGGGAGAGTCTCTGAAGGCCGGAGAAGACCGGAGGACTCCGACATAATCCTGTCTGCAAACAGCGCTGCCGGGCTGCCCAACCTTCAGAGCAGACGGATCCGTTTGCTCTGTGGATGAGCAGGGGTAACACGAAGAGATAGCTCTTTCACACCGGGCTGAGCAGACACAATCAGACCCTTGTTCTGAGAGGAGGGAGAGGGCAGCTCTGTTTCGGCCTACAGACAGAGAATACATGAGCCCTCTACAGTGTGATCAGAGCAGAGGATGCTCCAGATGAACACACAGAGTGAAACAGACTAAGTGCTTTTGGAGGAAAGAGAGAAGAAATTTACTAATCCCAGATAGCAGTTCACAAGAGGAAGCGTATCTTGGCATTTCAGCTGCCGTTAATGGCTTCAGGGGTTTTAAGGCTCATGTTATTAGCCTGGAAAAGGCTGCCAAAGGAACAATAATTCAGCCCTTAAAGATAGGCTAGATCTTCATAGTTTAAAAGTTTTAAATAATCTAAAATTCATAAATATGCAAGTGTCCTCGGATCTACAATATTAACTGACAATAAGATGTCCATTTTGTGCCTGGAAGGATATACAAACTCACCTTGTGATGTTGCAACTCCTGTCCCTAATGAACATTTAAGGGTTTCTAAAGATAAGAAAGAGAAGTTAAATGTTGGACTTGTAACTTTGTATTTGACAACAATTAATATCACAAAGAATTCATAAAAATCTGGCCAGCAGATCTCACAAATAATAATTTATTGCTTGTGGAAAATGGGGAGAAAATCAAAACCACTGTGGTATGCGAAACGCATTGGTCGATGAAAGACGGACAAGGACTTGGCTTGTCAGCACACTATCGAACACCACATAAAAAATCCTTTGGGAACGGACCAAATAAACAATTGTTTTGAGAATAGATGTTGCACAATATTGTCTAACCACATTTTGCCATTTAACAGCAGAGGAACATTAGAGAACGAATGTATCTGCACAAAGTGCTTTGATGAGATTGTTGATACTTAAAAAAAAAAATCATACATTTGTCTTGATACAAACTTAAGTCACTTAAGCTGTTGGCAAAAACTTGGAAATGCTACCCTATAGGGAGCAAAGAAAGAAAAATACATACATTTTTTGGAATAGTCTTCATGAATTTCTGAACTGCTACTCTACTTTCTCTTGACTGCAAGTCATATATTCAATCTGCCACAATAAAGTAATAAAGCAGGCCTTAATTGATTTGTAGTTGTAATTACTGTGGCGTTGTCTTGTTAATAGGTTTATTTTCCTGCCTTTCCAACCACATCTACTGCCTCTCTTACAAAAAAAACGACCCTAAAATGTCAAAGGCTCTAGCCCCCAAGGGTGAATCATAGGTCCAAGGTTACATGGAAATGGGAGACTGATTGCTTCTCAACAACATCTCGAAATCTACTCTTGAAAACAATATTCCATGATGAATCTGGAGTCTATGAACCAAGGGTTGAAGAATGGCTGCAAATCATCGACAGGCTACAGGGGGCCAATGCTATTTTGTGAAAAGCCTGAACTCTTAAAAAAAGCATTAAAAAGTGAAGACATTAATCATTAACTACCTTTAACTTAGTGGAAGAGTAGAGGACACTGGCAGGAAGTGGTGAACAGAAGTGGGATTCTTCTCCTTAGTTTTTTTTTTGGAGGGGGGGGGGACAATCAAGGCAATAAAAAGTACACATAAATAAGACTAAATCAGTTAAAACAAGGAACTAAAATAACTGAACAGATCACACAATAAGGCAACACATGAAACCAGCCAATGACATCAGCTGTTAGACTACCACCACAATAGTGTAACATTAAAAAATGTCATTAGTGTAGCATAATAAATAGAAATAATTAATATTAACAGCCAATTAATCAACCGATTAAAAAAACATTTATAACAAGTCAATTTATAAAATACGTTATATAAAAAAAAAAGCAAAAAACCATAACTGCAATTATTTATCAATAATTATGTATCATTTGACATTATTAAATATGCTGTTGTATTATGCATGTATTAGCATCAGTCACCCTGCTCTCTTGATATTGATGTCAGTAATGTGGGGGAGAAGAAAAAAACACTAATGAATCCATTACACACAACTAACGTCATTGATTAATGCTCCTACAATTAAATTAGATTATACTATGCATAACAAACCATCTAGGGAAAAAGTCTCAGGGCAAAAAGCTTAAAAAGAAAAAACAGGGATGAATCAGTACTTACCCACAGGTACTTGCCTAAGTATAATAGGTGTAGACTGCCATCTTGTGGGCATCCTTAAATATTCTGCCTTTGAATTGAGAAGAGATTGAAATGTAAAACACTGCTTCTTTTCAATGATTTTATTTATTTTACTCAAATATATATGAATGCTTCCTTTGTGAGGAGGGCTTCTGGGAGAAACGTTTACAGAAAGATCCATTCATCTAAATAAAACTGCAAACAAATCAAACATTGTAACACGCATAATGATACAGGGACAGACTGGTTTTAGCTTGTGCCGTGGGATGACATTGACAATATAACACAGTCATAATTCATTGTGATAAAACACGATTCTCTTTTCCTCACAATGCATCACAGAATATTTATATGATTTGAAGTCTTTAAAAGTTCCTGAAGATATTAGGAAATTCCCAAAAAGTGTGATGTGAAAGTGTCCATCCAGACTTTTTGTGTCACGTTATTCAAAGTGTTATGTAGGGTTTTTGCATAAAGGCACAAAGCAGTAAGGCCCCCCAGGGGCATCCTATTCTCTTTTTTTTTTTTTTTGGCAAGACATTGGTCCCAATTGGCAGTCCTCTTTTTCCATGCCACTTACGTAAAAGGAAAACAAATAATAAAAAAGACAAAACATCAATAAAACCATTATGTGATTATCCTTAAGAGTGTACAGGTCTAATTCAACTAATAAAATAAACATACTGAAACCTACAATCAGATGTGATCTACAGTTTAGAGAATACAGTAGGACATTCTGAAGTTTCAGCAGTGTATGACATCCTATTAGACAACTTGTTTGGGGGCAGCTAGTTAAGCCAAGCCTACTACAGAGGGTACAGCTCAGATTTCATCTTTCCCTGTGTGAAGCTACTCTGCGTGCTGGAGATGGGCAGGACTGCCAGGAGCCTAAGGATAGTTGAAATGTTGGGAAAAGTCTCAATGTCAGAAGTTTTGAGAGTGCCGAGAACAGTGTCGGGTAGGTGCTGATGACTAGCAATACAGTCTTGCCACCTGTCCCTCCACCTCTGCAGCTCATCCTGGAAGGAGTTTGGGTCAGGTAAGACATCTTGGAACACCTTGACAAACTCCGTGTCGTTGCAGCATCCCTCCACTTTGGACATGACATAAGGCACAACCTGCAAGCAGCGAACAGCTGACAGAACATCCTGGGAGAGTCCTTCCATCTCAGCAATACAGTGCTCAATGGCCCCTTTACTGATGTCCTCTCTGTAGTGCACATTTAAGGGTGGTTGTAGTGAGGGTACCTGCTTAGAAGCCAAAGCAACAGCCTCTTGAAACCAGGTTTGATGATGTGAGTCAATACTGTTCTTCATTTCACTGAGAGAGGGCATCAGATCAGACACGCGGTTTACAGCTTGATACACATCATAGGAATTTCCCTGAAGACTCAGGCTTATGCTTTTGGTGAGGCTCAAGATGTTTTTCATAATCACAACTGTCAATATGAAATCAAAGTTTTGGATATCAGAAAGGAAGCTCTGAGCCTGTGCTGTGTTTGCCTCATTATCTTGGTTCCCTTTCATCTCATTCAAGCAAAAGACGATGGCCTCTAGAATGTCTGTAGTGAGTTCCAGAACTTCATGGCTCATTGCCAATTGATTGCTGCTGATCTTGGCTTTCAGCTCACTGGCCTTCCTTTCGTCCTCCTGGAACATATGTACAACAGCATCCTCTAGTCTTACACGTCGTTGAATATCCTCAGAGAACCACATGAAGAGCTGCTCCAAGCACTCAAAACAGTGAGTTATCTCTCTCAGGGAGGACAAACTGTCTAGCAAAGATTTAGGAGTTACAAGGTTCGGGAAACTGAAAGCATGAGGGAGTCTCTGCGAAAGCAAAGCTGAAGCCTGTGTCATCTGAGAGACTGTGGCACCTGGTCTTGCCAAGTTTTGACTTCTACAGAGTGCCAAGTTCAAACCCCACTTCTCAGAAAGAGCGATGGTGAGCGTATCAACGAATGAAGTAATGTTTGTGGAAAGCGGGATAAAGGCCAACATATTTTCACACATGATGTCTTGTTTGTTAAGGTAGTGTATTCCTACAGAGATGTATGGTTGGCCATCGATTGCAAACTCTTCCTCAGTGACTATGGAAAAGAACTTTATGTTGCACAGTTCCTTGAGTAATTCCTCTCGAGCAACAGCATCGTAGGGGGTAAAAACTATTTTTTGTAGTCCAGTGTCATCCTGGGTAGTTACTTTGTTTGCACTATCCTGAGCCTTTACTCCAGACTGGACTGTGCATTCAGATTCTGCTGCCATGGGGTGATCCGTAATATCCTCAGATGAAGCAGGTGTGCAATGGTCAGTAACACTTGGAGTTATTGCAGAGGACTGATCAAGGCAAATGTGTACTGCTGCAGTTTCTTGGTCTGAGCAATCTGGAGTCACTGAACTGAACTGATCTGTGCCACAATCTGCAGCTACTTTGGGCTGCTCAAGGCCAACCTGATCTATGATGGTCTGATCAGTTTCACTTTGATTCCCTGGTACTATCTGATCAGTTCCACCTTGACTGAGTGCCACAGACTGATCAGGTACACTTTGATTCAATGCAACTGCAAGAATAGTTTCACCTTGAGATTCTACTACAGACTGATCATTTCCACAGGGTTCATCTGCCACAAGCTGATCATTTCCACTTTGATTCCCTGATGCTATCTGACAAGTTCCACTTCCATCTTCTAACCCAAATCCACTTTGATGTTCTACTATAGGCTGATGAGCTGCAACTTCCACAAATGTATCAGTTACAGTTTGATCTGGTGATGACTGATCAGTTCCACCTTGCTCTACTGTTACAGACTGATCATTTCCAGACTCAACAACCATGAGCTCATCAGATCCACAATCTCCCAATACTAACTGATTAGTTCCAACTTCATTTGGTAAGACAGACTGACCAGTTCCACTATGATCTACTGTTACAGACTGTTCATTTCCAGAGTCAACTACCATGAGCTGATCAGCTCCACATTGATCCCCTAATATTAACGGACTAGTTCCAACTTCGTTTGGTAATATAGTTTCTGTCTGAGCATTTTCATTTTTACCCTCAACTACAGATTGATCTGACTCAACTTGAACAACTGCTATAAATTGATCAGGTACACTTTGATCTTCTGTAACTGACTGAAAGGTTACATCTTGATCTGCTGTTACAGACTGATCATTTCCAGAGTCGTCATCTACCATGAGCTGATCAGATACATTTTGATCTCCTAATACTAACTGACTAGTTTCACCTTCACTTGGGAACCCAGTTTCTGTCGGACCGGTTTTATCTTGATCTTCTACTACGGAATGATCATTTTCAACTTGACCAAATACTATGAACTCTTCTGTTACACTTGGGTCTCCTATTTCTGACTGACCAGTTACACTTTGATCTGCTGTTACAGACTGATCATTTCCAGAGTCATCTACCATGGGGTGATCAGATACATTTTGATCTCTGGATACTAACTGACTAGTTTCACCTTCACTTGGGAACACCGTTTCTGTCTGACCAGTCTCATCTTGATCCTCTTCTCCGGAATGATCACTTTCAACTTGACCAACTACTATGAACTCTTCTGTTACACTTGGGTCTCCTATTTCTGACTGACCAGTTACACTGTGATCTGATGTTAGAGACTGATCTTTTCCAGAGTCAACTACCATGAGCTCATGAGATTCACTTTGATCCTCTGATATTAACTCACCCTCATTTGCTAATCCATGTTCTGTCTGAATAGAATCTTGACTTTTTACTACTAAATTTACAGTTTCAAATTGACCATCTGTCACAAACTGATCATTTATAATCTGATCTTCAGTTACTGACGGACCGGTTTTGTCCTGGCCTGCTGCTACAAAATGATAATTTCCAGAGTTATCAACAGCCTCAAGATCATGAGATCCAATTTGTTCCACTGATACCAATTGACCAGTTTCTCCTTCATCTGCTATCACTGTTAATAACTGACAAGCTTCATCCTGAACTTTTACAATAGACTGATCAGTTTCAACTGGACTAACTTCCAACTGCTCAACTACACATTGTTCCCCTGTTGCTGGCTGGCTATTTCCACCTTGATCTTCAACTACATATGGATCATTTCCACTCACATCAATTTCCATGGGTTGATCAGTTTCGCTTTGAAGGACTGACTCGAACTTATCATTTACACTGTGATCCACTGACATGAGCTGAACAGATTCACTCTGATCCTCTGACACAAACTGACCATCTGCTAAGCCTGTTACTGTGTGACAACCTTCATCTTGAGCAACTATGGAGGAATCAGTATCAACTTGAGCAACTGCCGTGAACTGATCAGGTACACTTTGCTCCTCTGTTGCTGGCTGGTCAGTTTCACCTGGTTCTGTGGCAACAAACTGATCAACTTCCATAGGTTGATCAGTTTCACGTTGATTAGCTGATACTGACTGAACAGTGCTAACTGGCTCTTCTTCATTGGACTGCTCAGTTCCACCTTGATTAGTTACTATTTGATCCCCTGTTACTGGTAGACCAATTCCACACAGATCAAGTACTTCAGACCTATCATTTAGATCTTGAACAAGTGCGATCAGTTGATCACTTCTATCATGTTCTGCTGCTGTAGATTGCATAGCAGCATCTTGGACAGATTCTGTTTGTTGGTCAGGTGTGCTGGTTGGCAGAGAGCTACAAGCAGGGATGACTTGAGCTGCAGTTGTGGCTTTGTCTGAGCTGCTAACTGTTAAAGATGATGGCTGGTCAGGTGTATTTTCTTCAGCACTTTCTATTTCACTAGAGTCATTGGTTTCCACTAGAATTTCCTCTGGAGCAGCAGTTTCGACATCTAAACAACGGATGAGACATAATATTTAATAAAAAGAGATAATTACTTATTACTAATATTTTTCATTTAACATTACTGACCGATTCCAGCAACATTTGCCTCTTGAGGATAATCCGAACCATTTGTATCTACAACCAACTCCTGTGGAGCCATGGCAATCACCTCTGGAAAGGGACAGGAAAGAGTGTGTCAGAATAAAACACAACAGCAATTTCATTACTTTGAATGCCCATTTGAGCTTACTTACCACCTTCCATTCTCAGGTGATTAACTCTTGACTTTACCTACATGTATGAATAAAAAAAAAAAAAAAGGATTTTTTTGTTTGTTTTATCAGTTGATATCAATGTGTTAATTTGATATTTTTGGACAATGAGAATTATTAACACAGTGTAAACACTAAGAAATGTACCACACCTGAGCAAGAAATTGATTACTTTCTGGATCACCCGCCATGCATTTCTCAATCACCTCTTCCAGGCTCTGTAGTGTCTGGCGATGCATAAGAAGCATCACTGCATCAGTCTTACTGCCCCTGTTGAAGATACCATCTCTGAGTAAGGTCCTCAAAGAGTTTAGTGTTGTCTTCATTAGATCGCACTCCATGCTAATGCTGGGCAACACGGCCACAAGTTTAAGAAGGGTTGCAACATTTGGAAGGTTTTTGGCTTCATTATGGAGCAATGTCTCAGAGATGGAGGTGGGAGGACAAACATCTTGATACTTCTCCCTCCATACCGTGGCCCAGGTGTTAATGTCTTCTTCCGCTGTTTCTGGTTCAGGGAGATCACTCAGGTATATAGTGTGCAGTTTATCTGTGGATTCTGGGAGAATAGGCAGAGGGTTGCACGTTGGCAAAAGGGACAAAACTTTCAGGGCTTTTAGGTGATTCTCTGAGAAGTTAAACTTCATTTCTTCAATCAAACCATTTAGAACTGGTAAGCTAACTGCTTCCATGTAAGATGTTTCTGGTGAATCATAGCCACTGACAGATTCCGCATAAGACAGCAATCCCATGACCTTAGTTGCAAGCTCCACTGCCTCGTCAAACCAGACAGAATGCACCGCACTCACATTGCCCAACATCTTGCTAAAAGTATCTATTATTGGCATAATCTTCTCAAGCTCGCAAATAATGTCAGCAGGGTTTCCACAACGAAACACAGTGCTGCAATTCCTTAAGGGCGCACAGGCATTCTTCAAGATCACTAGGGGGATGATAAAATCAACCTGTCTAAGTGCTGTGGACAGAGTCTGGGAATGCAGTGACATGCTATCACTCCATGACCCACTGGAGTTGGTGCTCACAGAATCTAAGCAGTTCAGGACTCCCTCCAGCATGTCCACCAAAATATCAAAGAAGTCTTCTCTCTTCTTCCATCTGGACAGGCAGGTCTCTGGGACCTCTGCAAGTGCTTCCCGTGGAGTATTCAGCAGCCCATCCATGGTCTTGGCAAGTTCACTCTCTAATTTGGGTGACTGGTCAAAAAACTGTAATAGATCTTCAGCTGTCTCTAGAACCTTTGTAATGGATGCATTTTGTAGGCTTAAAGCCAGCCAATAGGCAAGTCCACAAGATTCACTGGGAGTGTTCACAGCTAATGGATAGCTCTCTAAAAAACCCAAAGCCATCTTCCTGAGACTTTTGCTCCCCGTACCAAAGCACATGATGGACTGGCCACGACAGCAGCCCATCTGAAGTCCCCACTCATCTTCAAGTGTTGCTGAAAGAGCCTTAGCTTGCAAATCCACATCGGAGCTTTCATCAAAGGGCAGAAATCCTATAAGCTCCACTTTAGGAATGCAGTCATTCACATATCTAACAAAGACTGGCAGGAACTTCGCATCACCCACTGAAATAGCTCTATCAGTGATGATGGAAAAGAAAAAAGAGTCCTGAACTTCAGTGAGGATTGTTTCTCGTATAGCCTTCACAATACTTTGTAACATTGTCCACCAAAATATCAAAGAAGTCTTCTCTCTTCTTCCATCTGGACAGGCAGGTCTCTGGGACCTCTGCAAGTGCTTCCCGTGGAGTATTCAGCAGCCCATCCATGGTCTTGGCAAGTTCACTCTCTAATTTGGGTGACTGGTCAAAAAACTGTAATAGATCTTCAGCTGTCTCTAGAACCTTTGTAATGGATGCATTTTGTAGGCTTAAAGCCAGCCAATAGGCAAGTCCACAAGATTCACTGGGAGTGTTCACAGCTAATGGATAGCTCTCTAAAAAACCCAAAGCCATCTTCCTGAGACTTTTGCTCCCCGTACCAAAGCACATGATGGACTGGCCACGACAGCAGCCCATCTGAAGTCCCCACTCATCTTCAAGTGTTGCTGAAAGAGCCTTAGCTTGCAAATCCACATCGGAGCTTTCATCAAAGGGCAGAAATCCTATAAGCTCCACTTTAGGAATGCAGTCATTCACATATCTAACAAAGACTGGCAGGAACTTCGCATCACCCACTGAAATAGCTCTATCAGTGATGATGGAAAAGAAAAAAGAGTCCTGAACTTCAGTGAGGATTGTTTCTCGTATAGCCTTCACAATACTTTGTAACATTTCTCCCTCTGAAAACAATGTCCCTTCCTCCTTCACCCAATGACATAAGGCAAGTTTCTGAACAACAGCATCTTGCTCTGGTTTATCAAGGTCGATCAATGAGCAGTTTCTCCTTGCAAGCGTAGCTGCTTGTTTAAAGACTTCTTCACAGTTTTTTATGTTGTCAGCTGGTTCATCAGAATGGCCATTCTCATCTGGAACCTGCTCCACTTCTTCAACCTTTTCACGCTGCTCCTCAGCAGCCACTTCCGTGCAACCAGCAACCACTTCTATGTTTTCAGACTGCTGCTGAGTCTCTATGCTCTCTGCTCCCTCTTTGTAGATTTCTGCTTCTAAAAGTCAGGGTAAACATTATTTTAGACAACGAATACAGCATTTTCAATAAAACAAATATTTAATTAAAGACTCGAACATTAAGAACTCAAATGCAAGACCATTCCCAAAAATGACATACCGCTGCCTGTCATCTCAGAATTCACCACAAGTATTCGGGAGTCTTTGTCCTGTGAATAGAAATACTACTTATGAACAAAATTTAAAAAAGCAATCAACTATCACCAGCTGATATGAATCAACAATAGTTTAAAACAATTTTCAACTCAATCAACGATCTATACTGTAATCTATAATCTATCCTCTAAACCCTTTGAAAAATGATATGTTATTATAACAATTATCATCACAACTTTACAAACCTGCTGAGCTTCCCTGTCCTCTACTTCATCCATGTGGGTGTCATCTGCAATGTTGGAAAAGTGAGCATTAAAGTCAACATGAAATGAAAATTCATCCTACCTATTTTCCAAATGCATGTTACTGATCTTATTGTGAACAACATGCATGCATGTTTTGTTTTTAAATATTTTTTTACCTCAATTTTAAATCAAAATATACCTCAATCTACTGGTAAAACAACAGACATCTCTTTGATTAATGACTTCTCTACATGGTGTGCTTAAATACTGCTTCCACTTTTTCCTCCCCCAAAAGACAAGAGGAAAGAAAGCATCCAAACATTGATTCTTTAAAAAAAAAAAAAAAAAGCCAGCAATTAAAATATTATTACACACCTTCTGTTTTTATTTCAACAGTCCTTCCTAAGGTTTTGGATTCTTTGTCCTGTGAAGTAAAACAGACTTTAGGAACACATCTGGAAAGCAAATTAAACAAGCAACAAATTACTAAAAAAAAATTATCCTTACCAGGCAAATACCCTCCAGTGTCTTAGGTGTGAGCTTTAAGCACTGAGCAACCATTCGGTCTAGGTCTCTGTTAAAGTCAGTGCCCACCTGAAGCACGGCTAAACAGGGCGATCTGTCCATAGGTGAGGTGTTGCTCAAGTAGTCTTGATACATTTTGTGCCGCTTCACCTCACCACAATATTCTAAAGCTGTGCTTGGCAACACACACATTATCTTCAGCAATGTGTTGATGTTTACGAAGTACTGCATGAGGGGTAGACGCAGAGTCTGAAAAATGGTCTCTGGTATGGTTACACTAACCACTTTCGTTTTCCACTTCACTTTCCAGCAGCTTAGCTCCGTGAAGAAGTTGTCAGGATCGGGAAGGTCACCAATGTACAATGGAGGTTTTGACTTGAGCATTTCAAAAACATAGCTCACTGTCACAGAGCACGGGACCAAAGACAATAAGTTGAGAGCCTCTTTGTGGTCATCAGAGAAATAGTCTTTCACCATGTTTATAAGGTGGTCAACTAAAGGGACACTCATTGCGTCTTTATAGTATGAACCTGGCTTCAAGAGACTGTCCCTTGGAACAATCACGCTATCAGGCACTTTGACCTGCACACCCAGACTCTGAGCAAAACAAGAAGCTTCATCAAACCAATTCTGATGGAAAACCTTGATGTTGGTTTTCACTCTGTTAAGCGTGGCCACAATACCACTGATCTGGCTGAGCTGCGAGGCAGCACTAAAATGGTCTTTCTGTAATGCTGCACTCAGTTCTCTGGTGAAGGATGAGGCATTTTTTAGCGCAACAATTGCCACAATGAAATCAAAGTCCTTTATTAACTGAAGTAGTCTCTTGGCTCGGTTGGATACTGCCAAACTCCATATTTGTGGTTGGCAGTTATCAATATTTTCAAGCCAATCTACCAGAGGCTCCAGAATCTGAGCGAAGACTTCATAAGAGTCGTGTTTCTCAAGCCAAGAGGAGCAGAACTTTCCTTGAAGCTCATGGATTTTCTCATAGCTTTCTCTTAGGCCTATGGCTAAGACTTGATCTAACTGTTTCTCGAGGGCAGGCATGCTGTGGAAGAATGACACTATCTCCTCTAACGTGTCTATGGCTCTAATGACTGCAGCTACTGGAACTGATCTTGACCACCAGGTATTGAAAGAGTAACATGAGCAGTGTGTGCATATAGCAAGAGGATACTGCTCCTGTATTTTACATGCAAAGGCCTTGAGCTTGTAGGACACTTCCCCAGAGCCAAGGTAAGCTTGACCTCTGCAGTAGCTCAAATCGAGATGCCACTCTTTGGTGACAACATCAAAAAGTCGTTCGCACATGGCCTCAGTGTCATGAGTAACCTCGATAAAACCCAGAAGCTCAAGGCGCATGACATCAAAACTATCAACAAATCTGATGAACATGGGTAAGTAGTCTGTCTCTCCCAACCGGACAACTCGGTCGATAAACAGGGAGAAGAATGAATTTCCGAGCTCTGAAAGAATCCTATCCCGTACAACATCCTCACACACTTTAAGGACTTCATTCATCTCGGATTTGGTCACATATTCTACTTCTTGATCTTGATCTTGATCACCCTGAGTGTGTCTGCTTTGCCTGCCGTATGCTGCCGTGACAGCGGTCTGTAATGCAGATTTTAATGCCTCTTTATCAGTTTCTGCACACTCAAGCAGTTTCTGTCTCTTAATGTCCATATTTAAAGTCATCTCTCTTGGTTCTTCCGTATCTTCTTTAGAGGCGTCATTTGCACTGGATTCAGGAACTGTTATAGGGGTTGGAGTACAATAAATAAAATCAACAACTGTATTTAACATAAAATTCAGCTCAGTTCAATGTATTCTTGTTCAAGCTATCAAAACCAGAAAGGTGAGAAGCTTTACCTGATGGTTGCACTTCCATTACATCATCCTAAAAACAAATGAGTAGATCAAAACAATGAACAGCTTGTTAAAAACATGCTTGAGTTTTTGGCATTATTTATCTCCAGAAACTAAATATAATTAAATACAAATCAAATTTAATTAGTTACCAAAAACATACTTACTTCATGTAATAGCTGCAGGATTTCTGGATATTTCTTTACATACGCCTCCACCATTTCCTCAGTGCTGAAGTGGACATCTTGATTGACATAAACACAGGCCATATTGCTCAGTCTCTTTTCCACTTGTATTTTTTTCATGTAGGACTGATAGCGGTCCAACACCATATCATAGTGCCCATACACATCAGATTCTGCACGGACACAAGGGATGGTGCCCAACACTCTCAACAGGCTCTGAACATTTGGGTAAAAGCCTATATCTGGGATCTTGAGGGTAGCAAACACACTGGTGGGAAGAATCCTTCGCTTGCTAGCATGTCGCCATTTCACTTCCCAACAGCCCAGCTCATCATAAAAGGAATCAGGACGAGCCAAGTTATTCAGGTTAGCATCAGCAACTTTGTCTTTGCGGATGCTAAAATTGTGGTCAGCCATGTATGAGGGCACCAATGACAACCATCTGAGGATTCTTGCCATTTCAGTGCCTAGGACTCTTTTGACTTCATCAACAAGGTATTGTAAAACCTTCTTGCTCAGTGCTTCCCTGTAGTAATCCTCCAAAGAGGCTTGCGGTTTCTCCGCACCATCCCCATTTGTCTCCATCTCCACTGGCAGATTGACTGGCACCCCCAACTTCTTGGCTCTGCCCACTGCATCAGAAAACCACTTTCTGTGAAAAATTGCGATCTCCTGCATATGTTTGGTTAGAAGCTTCAAGGCATTAGAGATGGTGTACTGCAATGTGCTGCTGATGCTGATTATTCCCCGGAGGCTGGGGTTCAGGATGCTTACACAACACAGTGTGTTCTTCAGGACCACAAGTGTAATGATGAAATCAAAGTTCTTCAGCTTCTCTTTCAGCATTAGAAGCACTACGACGGTGTCGGTGTCCACATCTGAAAGGGCACTGGTGCACATCTCTCCAATGCTGCTCAAAAGCGGCTCCAAGATATCAAGCATTGTCTGGAAAGCATCAGTGGCATATTCCCAATGATTCTGACAAGACTCCTTCACTCTGTCCACTTCACCTTTGATGTGGCTGTATGAAGCAGTGATCTTGGCATCAAGTTTCTTCGCCAGAGTTTCTGATTGCCTAATAATGGCAGCAACCTGCTCTACAGTATCAACAACGTCCTGAATTGGAAGGATGGGCATGGAGCGAATCAACCACACATTGAAGGCATAAGGCTCACTGGGGGACAAAACTACCTGTGGAAAATCCCGCAGCATCCTGCAGGAGAGATCCTTCAGTTTCTGACACATGGCACCTGATGACAGGTAGGTGAAGCCGCGGCAGTGCTCCATCCGCAGGCCCCACTTGTTCCGGATCTCAGATATAAGCATAAGGAACAGAGTGTCAGAGTCAACATCGCAAGGAAGGAATCCCATGAGGTGTTTCTGTGGAAAGCCTTCACCAGTGACTGAGCGGATAAACACAGGAATCTGGTCCTTGCCCTCAATGCTTACTCGGTCTTGTAGAAGTATGGAAAAGAAGCGTGCAAGGCGCAAGCTATTGCGGATCTCCTCACGCATCACATCCTCACCTAAAGTGAGCACTTCTTTTTGGTCAATCTTCTCTGCGCATATGGTGTTGACAGAGAGTGGCCTAGCTGGGTCATTCCCCAGTGGTTTAACAGCGTTAAGAGATGCACTGTTGGTGATGCTAAAACCAGTGAAGGCTAAAGTCTCCTTGAAGTAGTCTTTCAAAATTTCTTTCGCTTTGTAAATAGCAGGATCCTCCTCTGATTCATCATGTGCAGGAGGATTGTGTGTTTCGCTGTTCTCAGCTGAATCACTCTCAACTTTATCTTCTGCCTCTGGCACAGAGGGGTTTGAGTTATTGGTGGTACCTTAAAAAAGCAGAATACATACACGCTTAAAAACAAAAATGCAGAGAATCTGCTGTAATTAGTTTGTGTAATTACAAAGAGAAATCAGAATTTAAAAATGCTGACATGGAAATGCATTACCTACCTTTAGTTTTCTTTGTGGCAACAGGCTCCTCTCCTGTCTGAAAAAATGAAAACAAAATAAAAATCTATCATTTGTAGTCAACGCTACAATGTGTCCATAATGACAAATAAAAACAATGAATTAATAACAATGATGGCTACACATTATAAAATGCTTGTTGAGAACTATTACAAGCATGAAATCTAATTTAAATGAGATGGTGGAATTACATTTGCATTCAAATGATAAGTAATCTACACAGAACTCAATCCCCAAAGTGTTTGTTTACCTTGTCACTTTGTATTTAACTGAATCAACTTAATCAAAAAAAAAAAAAAACGGGCAAGTAGTTTGCTCCATTATTTTAAGTTAATAAAAGCTTGTATTGCATAAGAATGTACTGATAAGTACGTTTTTGTACTGAATAAACTGATAAAACACTGATAAAACACTTTGCATTGAATATCTACTTGATGCTACTTATGTGTGCTGGGCTCACTGTGCCACTCTTTACAAAGGAACTCTTCAAAATCCATTCTGTACAGAACAGTTCTTTGTCTTCATTAGGCTATTTACCAGATTTTGGAAGACCTGTCTTTAAATAAGTTGCTAGAGACCACTCATTATTATATTATATATAACATTTTCTTGTGTTTTGTCTTATTTTGAGATAAACTCAAATATTAAAGAAAAAAATATGTTTGATATTGTTAAAATATATTTTTTTATTCAAGAAAAGTTTTTATCAGTCTATTCACAAAGCAAGGAAGTTATAAAACAGAATAAAAAAAGTTTTTGAATTTTGATGTGTACATTAGACACTCACTTTCTCCCGTGTCCTTTTTCTGTTGCTAGTTTGTGCATTGTCCTGGTTGGTTGCAAAATCAAATATAGTAGGAACGGCATCATCCTTCAAAACAGATTTCTGAGAGCTCTGAAATAAAAAGGAGTTTTACACATTAAGGGTTAACTGTGCCATGTCAGGGGGTGGGGGGCAGGTTGAAATAATTGGGAATGTGTGAATGCTTTATATTTCAAATAAAACATGAACATAAATCAGCCATTTATACAAAAAACAATTTAATTACATTCTATGCTAGAGGCTTATGTTGCTGGAAAATGTTTTATTTTTAAGGCACCCATAAATAAATGTAATACTGTATAAATATTTAATCTTCTCCACATTTTGAAAAAAATATATATATATATATATATTTTTTTTTTAGTAAAGCAAATGAAACTTTACAAATGGTTATTCACAAGACCAATCTAATTGTATTTCATTTACATGCAAAGTTTACCATAACCATCTAGCTGAGCAACTGGAACAGCATACACTTATTTTGGGAAATATGCTAAATTTATTAATGCATAGCTAAACTTTTAGCAAAACAAATAAACAAACAAAAAAGTGGTTTCAAACATTGGTAATTCACCAGTGTCAAAAACGGTGCAGTTTTCTGGGGAACATAGGGCACATGCCAGCCTACTGGTCAACCCTACACATCAATCCTAGTAAAAAAATCATTTCACTGGTTTGGTTTACTCGCATCATGATAAAATAATAATAAAAATCTCAATTTTTTTTAAATAGAAGATGCTCACCAAAATCATGCAAACTTACTTGCTGACATATCATTGATGTTTCAAAGTGTTTTGAGCACAATCTGTAGTTGCTGTGTAAATCTTCAGGTGATTTGATCTCCAGATCTGGTCTGTGGCACTTACCCACCCATTGTTTACATCTAAAGATAAGTAGTAAGGTTACTGCAGTAGTGCAAAAGTGATATTTTACCATTATTACAAACCTCAACAATCAAAAATCACAGGTCTAAAACAAAGCACATGTGTTTAATAAACACCACAATAAGTTTGACATCCAAATCCCACAAGAAGAAAGCAAAAGTACAAATCACGCCCTGAACAGAATAACGTATTCTGAGGGAATTAAATTCCTGCCATTTTGGGAAGGGCCTGATGATGGCGAACGTGTACAGGAGTCAATTGCTTACAGTAACCCCTTAAAAGTTGCAGCAATCACGTTGAAGAAATGCGAAAGATAGCCTAATTTCATGATTGCCAATTAAAAAACAGGCCCTCGCAAAGCAAAAAAATCTGTGCAAAACCAGATTAATGGAAGCAGCAGGGAAAGCATAAGCCCACAATAAGGGAGCCATGCATTCAATGAATCATTGTAAAAGGGGGCAGAAGCTAACCAGCTAACAAACGATGCTAATTTGCTCAATCTGTACTTAAATAAATAAATATCTAAATAGGAAAAAATACCATCGATTAAATTGCGATTGCATTTACGCCCAAAGGCTGCACTCACCGAACGGGATCCAGCGGGAACCTAAAGAAGGAAACGTTGGACTGGTCCGTACTCTGCTTGCAGTTTGCTGCGGCACAGCAGTCGGGCATTTTGGACTTAATCAAAATGAACACTGCATTGCACGAATCCTTCAGCGCAAAAGGAGACGCTTTGGCAGCAAAAAGCGCGCGCGCATCTATATAGATTTCACGCTATTGGGCGTTATTTCCAATCGTCGCGTGCATTCTACTGGAACTTGCTCATGGCCGAAACGTTGCTACTTTCACAGAGGAATCAACAACCAGGAAGAACACCTATGTAACAGCGGAAATGGACTAAACTGAAGATGGATTCCAAAATAACTCTATCACCGTCATTCTTTCCCCTTCTCGTGTGCATTTCCAGAATAACGAATGCTGCACAACTGATTTTTAAAAATATCATCACAAAATGATAACTCAAATACAAATTTGTTCCCCTTTTCCACGAGGCGCCAAGGTTTTTTTGTAACCCACGTGAACATTCGAGGTCACACCCTTTTAATAACACTAGTTGATCTTTTTTTGAAGTCCTGATTATTTCATAGGAGTTTAACCCATTTAGTCCCACATACTAACATCTGACTTTGAATGATCCAATATGCTTTGTTGATGTACTTTGCAACGATAAATTACAAATTCAGCTTGTTTTGATTTGATGTTGATATTTCATGTAGTCACACAGCTGTTTAAGTTTATTTTGCTCCTATGAAAGGTGTCATAAAACACAAATAAGCAAAGACCGTTGCTATCATTCAAGACCAAACAATGCAAGATACGTTTCAAATCACCTTTGTTGCTGAAATAATTACAGTAATACAGGCAATAACTGTCATGCTAGAAAAAACACTTACATTACCTAACTTGCATATCTCACATAAAATCAATAATGTTGCTTCTATATACAGTATCACATGGCATAATATAATGTAAAATGCTGTATTTGATGCTGTCTCCCTTCTTCTGATACATCTCTGATCAGTTCCTCTTCCTCGTGTCCTGCTGTTCACAAATAGCAAAACACACGGTTTTACAAATGAGGACGTCCTCAAAGGGAGGTTTTAGGTGATTTTGTCAAGTTTTGTTTACTTCTGGGTACCAATTTGTCCCCAAAATATGGTTACAGTAAGTAGGTACACACACACACACACTTTTCCTATCATTATGGTGACAATCCATAGGAGTAATGGGTTTTATACTGTCTCCCCCTACACTCATTGGACCCAAAAAAGGACAATGATTTCAGATATTGCCATCTTTGTGGGGAAATTTTGTCCCCATAAAATAGGGTTTACCTGACCACACACACACACACACACACCCTTA